GCAAATCAAAACCACAAAGAGATACCACTTCACCCCCACTAGAATGGCTATTATCAGAAAAATAGAAGACGAGTGTTGGCAGGCATGTGGAAGAATTGGAACCCTCATCTGTTGATAGTAAGATTATAAAATGGTACAGCCACTGTGGAAAACAGTTTGGTCATTCCTCAGAAAGTTAAACACAGAATTATCATATGACCCAGCAATTACACTCCCAAGTACATGTGCGAAAGACCTGAAAACAGGGACTTAAAACAGGTACTTGTACACCAGTGTTCACTGCAGCATTATTCACAATAGCCAAAAGGTGGAAACAACACAAGTGTCCATCAACAGACGAACGGATAAAAAAAATATGGTCTGTTCATACCTGGGATATTAGTCAGCCACAAAGAGAAATGAAATTCTGATACATGTTACAACATGGATGAACCTTGAAAACATTATGCTGAATGAAATAATTCAGACACAAAAGAACAAATATCATATAATCCCATTTATATGAAATATCTAAAATAGGCAACTTCATAGAGACACAAAGTAGATTAGAGGTTACCAGGGACTGGGAGAATGAGGAATTATTGCCTAATGGGTACAGAGTTTCTGTTTGGAATGATAGAAGATTTTTGGAAATAGATAGTGGTAATGGTTACACAATATTGTGAATGTAGTTAATGCAATTAATGTAATTAATGCCACTGAATTGTACACTTAAAAATAGTCAAAATGGCAATTTTTTGCTACATATTTTGTTGTTGTTGTTAGGTGTCGTTGAGTCGGTTCCAATTCATAGCGACCCCACGTACAACAGAATGAAACACTGCCCAGGCCTGTGCCATCCTCACAATCCTTGTTATGTTTGAGCCCATTGTTGCAGCCACTGTGTCAATCTTATCCCTTCAGGGACTTCCTCTTTTTCACTGATCCTATTCTACTTTACCAAGCATGATGTCCTTATTCAGGGAATGGTCCCTCCTGATAACATCTCCAAACTATGTGAGACAAAGTCGTGCCATCCTTGCTTCTAAGGAGCATTCTGGCTGTACTTCTTCCAAGATAGATTTGTTCCTTCTTCTGGCAGCCCAGGGTATATTCAATATTCTTCACCAACACCACAATTCAAAGGCATCAATTCTTCTTGGGTCTTCCTTATTCATTGTCCAGCTTTCATATAGCATATGAGGCGAATGAAAACACCATGGCTTGGTTCAGGCACACCTTAGTCCTTAAAGTGAAATCTTTGCTTTCTAACACTTGCAAGAATTCTTTTGTAGCAGATTTGCCCAATGCAATGAGTCATTTGATTTCTTGACTGCTGCTTCCATGGGTGTTGATTGGGGATCCAAGTAAAACGAAATCCTTGACAACTTCAATATTTTCTCCATTTATCATGACTGGGCTTATTGATCCAGTTGTGAGGATTTTTGATTTATGTTGAGGTGTAATCCACACTGAAGGCTATGGTCTTTGATCTTCATCAGTAAGTGCTTCAAGACCTCTCACTTTCAGCAAGCAAGGTTATGTCACCTACATATTGCAGATTGTTAATGGATCTTCATCCAATCTTGATGCCCTGGTTCTTTTTCATATAGTCTGGCTTCTCTGATTATTTGCTCAGCATATAGCACATGATGCTACATATATTTTACCACAATTTTAAAAAAATTGACCTGTAAGTCAAGAAGAGCCCAAAGTATTCATCAAAGAGAAAATTCAATTAACATGTCTGAGTGGGGGGTGGAGGTGGGGAATTCATCTTTCACATTCTTGTTTATTCATATGAAAATTATGGACAACTTCCTGGAAAAAAAAAAAGAGAAATAAATTTTAAGCAAGCAAATAAAACAAAACCAAAAGGCATTTTCACTGCCTAAAAGTAAATTCGATGTGAATGGCTTGAAAAGAAGTAGGAAATGTACATTTTAAAATGCATGTCATTTTTGATACCCAATAGATGTTTTCACTTTTACTACACCAAATGGTGACCATCCTGTCTTACAAATATATCATCAGCATGTAGTAGTAAAAAATTAAAATGTTCCTCCACTTATTTTGCCAAACAAGGGTGTCATAGAAACCATTAATTCATCAGTACTAAACTGAATTCATAGATATAATTTCCTTTGATCTGAGAGATGAGTGAGGTGATTTTTAGAAGGGTCTGCTTTGCTGATACTGTTGGTTTCAGCAAGGAAGGGATGGATCATGAATCTACATGACAACTTTAAGGTTATCTGAACAAAAACAACACTCCAAAGTTCTGTAGAGTTTCTGGGAGTCTGCAGATTTCTGCTTTGATTAAAATGAAGTTCCACCATGCCCAGTCCAGCTGAACACAGCACCTACTCACTGGAAAGTCCACACAGTCGTCTGCCTGCATGCTCTTCTTTCAGAGTTGCTTCTTGACAAAGCAAGCAGGAAGTTTTTCAACAGCATTCATAAAACAGCTAGAAGTCATGTATTGAAAGCTCGACTTTTTATACATTGTCGAAAATATGCACCAAATAAGCCAAACTATGAGTGAATTATCCTGTCAAATTGTTCCAAGATAGGGCTTTAAAAATATATACTTGAGTATTTTAAAGTAGAATAGGCTTTGATATTTCACCCTTATTTCAGATGCATCTCTAAAAAATAGGAACACTTTCCCTACACATCCAAGAACCAATCACTTGAGATGTTGTCTTGGAACCCAGCCACCATGCTGTGAGGAAGCTGAAGTTCCCCTCTGTGGAACTGAGGTCCCCAGCCCTCAGCCCTGGCTGAGTGCCTAGCCAATGGCCAGCACCAACTTGCCAGTCATGCAAGTAAGCTATCTCGGAAGAAGATCCAGTAGCCGAGTCAAACTCCCCAGCCAATGCTATGTGGAGCTGGGACAAGCCTTTCCAGTAAGTCCTGCCCAAATTGTAGATTTGTGAGCTAAGTAAATTATTGTTTTAAAGATATTATTGGGGCAGGGGGAGCTTGTTACAGAGCAATAGTTAACAAATACAGATTTTGTACCTGTGACACCACACTCAACTGGTTTTCCTCCAAACTCACAGGCCTGCCTCAATTTCCTATGCTGTCTCTTCGTCTTCTGCTCAATCATGAAATGTTGAGAGTTCCTCAGAGTTCAATTCTGGACAAATTTATCTACTAGCTCCCTCGGTTATTTCATCCATTTACATGACTTTAGATACCATCTATACACTGCCAACTCCCAAATTCATATTTACAGGCTAGGCGTTTCTTCTAAATTCAAGGGTCCAACTGCCTACCTGACATCTACACTTAGATACACTATGGGGGTGGGGGTTGGGTCTCGATTATAACATGGCCCATAAGAAACTTTTTATTTCCCCCTATAAACCTATTATTCTTCCCAGTAACAGCACCACCATCCACCCAGAGAATAAAGCCAGAAACCCAGAAGTCATCTTGTTTATCCATTTGTCTGTTGACAGACGGTTGGGTTGTTTCAACCTTTTGGCTATTGTGAATAATGCTGCAATGGACACTAGCGTAAAATTATCTGTCTGAGTCCTTGCTTTCAACTTTTTTAGGAAGATGTCTCAGAGTGGAATTGCTAGGTCATATGATAATTCTATGTTTAATTTTTTTGAGGAACTACCAAACTATTTTCCACAGTGGCTGCATGATTTTACAATCTAACCAACAAAGGATGAAGATTACAATTAAATCACATGCTCACCAACACTTGTTTTCTGTTTTTCTGATAATATGCATCCTAGTGAGGGTAAAGTGGTACCTCATTTTGGTTTCAATTTATATTTCCCTAATGAATACTGATTTTGAGCACCTTTTGCTGTGCTTATTGGCCATTCATCTCTCTTCTTTGGTGAAATGTGTATTCAAGTCCTTTGCCCATTTTTTGATTGAGATGTCTTTTTCTTGTTGAGTTGTAGGAACTCTTTATATATTCTGGATATTAAACCCTTATGAGATACAGGTAGTCCCTGACTTACAACAGGATTCCATCCCAACAATTACTCTGTCGTAAGTCGGTTCTGACATAAGTCAAATACATCATTTTGTTGTTGTTCTCATTATTAATGCCTTTTATTATCAGTATCTATATTAATCCGATTTTTGTCATCAGCAGGTGGAAACATTACATCTGAGAATAATATCAACAGATTACTCACTGCAACATTGTTTGTAGTACATATTACTAATGATAAGATGAACAAAAAAAAAGGACAGTTGTAAGTGCAGTTCGTCATAACTTGAATACATAGTAAGTCTGGGACTACCTATACATGGCTCTCAAGTATTTTCCCCATTCTATAGGTTGTCTCCTCACTTTGTTGATAAAGTAATTCATGCATAAAAGTTTTTAATTTTGATGAAGTTCAATTTATCTATTCTGTCTTTTCTTTCTTGTGGTACTGGTGTCATAGCTAAGAACTCACTGTCAAAAACTAGTCCTGAAGCATTAACCCTATGTTTTGTTCTGAGTTTTAAAATTTAATTCTGTGGAAAAGTTTTTGATGATAAATTCAATTTCTTTAATAGGCTAGTTAAATTTTGTTTCACCTATGTCAGTTTTGGTAAGTTGTGTTTTTTAAGGCATTTGTCCATTTCACCTAAGTCGTCAAATTCCTTTGCAAAAAGTTATTTTAAAATCCCTTATCTTTTAATATCTGAAGGATCCATAGTGATGTCCTCTCTTTCATTCCTGATATCAGTAATCTGTGTTTTCTCGTTTTTATTTCAATCTAGCTAGTTTATCCAGGAGAGACCATTCCTTGGGAAGGACATCGTGCTTGGTAAAGTAGAGGGTCAGCAGAAAAGTGGAAGATCTTCAAGGAGATGGACTGACACAGTGGCTGCAAGAACAGGCTCAAGCATAAAAACAATTGTGAGGATGGCCCAGGCCCAGGCAGTGTTTCATTCTGTTGTACATAGGGTCACTATGAGTCGGAACCAACTCAACAACACCTAACAACAGCTAGTTTATCAGTTTTGTTGATCTTTACAAAGAATCAATTTTGGGGTTTGTTAATTTTCTCTATTGTTTGTTTTCTACTTCTATTGATTAGTTTTTCCTGCAAGCCATTGTTGACAAAGCAGAGTGATCTCTGTAAAAACATAATCAGACAATTTTACTTCCCTATTGAAAACTCTCAATGGCCTCCCATTGCATTTAGAGTAAAAGACAAAATCACTGTCATATCCCACAGATTTCTATATGAGATCTGGTCCTTGCCTACTTCTCCAACCCCATCCATTGCTACTCCTTTACTCACAATGCTTTATTCACACTGACCTTCTGAAAATTCCTATGTCAAACCAAGCTTTTTCCTGTTTCAGAATTTTTGGCATCTGCTGTTCTCTTCACCTGGGATATTCTTCCCCATCAACTCTTCATGGCTGTTTTCTTCTCATCCTCCATGTGTCAGCTTAAGGTCCAGTGCATCAAGGAAACTTTCCTTGACCATTTCAAAATACCGCCCTGATCCTTATACCCTACCATTATTCTCTATCATAATAATCTATTTATTTCCTTCATAAGCACCTTCCACACACTGTAATCATTTTATTGATAGGTTTATGTTTACTGAAATGTTCAAATGTATTAACATATTATAGTTTCATCTAAACAGGGTACTACTATGTTGAGTACAGCATCATGGCTAGAAGACTAGGCTCTAGATTCAGATTGGCTAGATTTGAATCCTATATCCACCACTTATTGTGTGACCTTGCACAGGTTACTTAATCTTTCTGGTCCTTGATTACGCCATCTGTAAAAAAGGAATATACTACGTGTAGTATTGTTGTGGAGATCAAGTTAATGTATCGAAAGTGCTTAAAACAAGGCATGGCACATAGTAAGTATTCAGGGAATACACATGGCTATTATTATTTGTCATTGATTTCTAGTGCCTAACAGTGTCTGCCACTTAGTAAATATTTGTCTAGTGAAGGAGAAGAAAGTATGAATGGATGTGAGGAACTGTGTAGAGTGTACAGTTGCTATACAAGTATGTCAGATATTATTGGCCCACTTCTATAATTACATACTATAATTATATATTGCATATATAATTGTATATATTGTGTATTACAATTATATATTGGATAATACGTTTTATTATTTAATGTATATTTTATTATATATTATTTGCCACTCATCCTGGCTCAAATTAGCAACAAGACATCTCTGTGAAACAAACCAAAAGCCTTTATTTCTAAATTGCTCTTTTCTTGGACTATTTGTGCCTCATTTCCCCCTACTAGGATATAAGGTCTCTAAAAACAGGGACCTAGCCTTTCTTCTTCCCAACAGTAGACATTCACTGAGTACCTATTATGGTGTCACACCCTGTGCTCCTCCCTAGAGACTAAGGATGGCTCTGTCCCTGAGGAAACCAGAGGGAAAGATATAGGTAAACGGGCAGGCAGTTACCATAAAGTGTGGTACATACACTACTGGAGAAATACTTGGCATGAGATATTACTGGTATCCAAATCAGACTGTGGATGCAGCTAATAGGCTTCCCAGGAGAAGTACCCCACAATGCTTGACAAAATGCTTGGCACACAATTGGTGTTGAATAAATGGAAGTCCAGTACACCGGGCAGAATGGGGCAAGATATTATATATTATATATACCCAGTAACCTCTCCACCTTTATATAGGTAACCACTGAGACCTAGAAATGGTACCTCACTTATCAATCCCTAGACCACACCACTGTCCCATTCTACAGACCAGAGGACCACACCCACCAAAAAGCAGTAAAAGAGGAACAATGGAGAACAATAAATGAAGAAATAGTCCATTTTCGAATGGAAGATAACCTGGCAAGATGTTGGGTTATCTATCTGAAGTAAATCACATATAAATGCAGTCATTATTTTAAATATTCTTCCATTCTAACTTCTTATCTTTAGAACTTATGCTTCAATAATGTAAATAGTTAAAAGAAACAATTGTTGAAACATGGATAAAATTTATTTATAATTATCCTATGTATTCTGTAACAGGGTGGAAATTTTTATTTAAAAAAATATTTGCAGTCCCCTTCCACTGATAACATGACTAAGATACTTATTTTATACATTTAAATTATCTTAAGATTTGATAACAATATTTAGCTACAGTGTAGCCCAGAAATGAAAATATACAAAATAGTTTTAGGAACACATATGTTTCTACCTGTTGGTATACTTAAAATCATACAAAGATACACATTTATTTTAAAATAAAGACTTTGAAATGAAGCCAGTTCATCAAATTTTTACCAAGATATGACAAGAAATATTTTATGCAAAAATAAAATTAAAGCAGAAATTATACACTGTTTTCTATTTAGTTCAACTTTGTTGAACTTTGGTGAACTAATGTCTTAAAAAACCACATCAATTCTACAAATCAATATTTCTGAGGACAGAACTATTATTGTTCCCCGCCCATATCTGTCATGCTTATAATAAAACATAAAAAGTACTGTAAAAACAATAAATGGAATTCTTATATTTTAAACCACTTTCTTAACATAAAAGTTAACAATTCAAATCATATTTTACATCTTTACTTACATTTATATTGCCCTAAAATTATTTTACATGGAAGAACTAGTTGATGTGTCATGACATATGCCTTAGAAACATTCTTTGACATTCATATCTACATTAATGGATATTTCACAGTCCACTTAAATAAACTTTCTAATATACACCAAACTATCTAACAAAAACAAATATATAGTGCTACTCTGTTTTTGTAAGCAAAGATAATCAGTATTACTATTGCCTTTGGGAAATAATGACTTTTAAAGATACATGCAAATCACCCATCGTACCTGGGGGTACCATTTGAGCAATATCTGAAAATTTTTCATTTATTGTTGAAACTCTACATGGCTACTTTTTAAACACAATATTACTTTATTTTAAAAAATGAAGACAAAAAAAGCATTTACCCTTTTATCCAGTGGAGAATTATGAAAAGGAAAATAAGAAGAAGAATACTGCAAAGCTGGTTTTAAACTATGTTCTATAGAACTTAACACATCAGTTCTCATCTTTCGGCTGCAATATAACCAAGCCTGTTTATTTTAATAAAAGTAAACAATGCTGTAGTCTTTTAAAAAATCATAATTAAAAGCTTGGAACAGCATGATAAAGCTAATGGCAACCTCTTGAAACCCGTTTTGAAGTTAGTATTACTTCCAAATAATACTTTAAAACGGTTTCAAATAACCTAACTGATTAGCCAGCATCAGCTTAGGAATTTTCTTTTTCCAATGTGCTAAAGTATAACTTTTGGCATCAAAAAGTATGGTAAGTGCTTTTGATTTGTGACAAAAAAATATTTTAAAAAAACAACAATCAAGTACTAAAATACCAGTGGTTCCTGTGACAGGATAAATACTCCCCTTCAAGTAATGTTCCCCCAAAGTTAAAGTAACATTTTATTTCTCCCTCTGACAGTGTATCAAGGAAGGAAAAAAAAAAACAAAAACCAGGATTTTTTTTTTTTTTAGTTGAGGTGAAAAAACTGCTTCATAAGTTCGTATGTTGTAAAAGCCACTGCTTGAGAGGGAACGCAGCGAATGTAATTGAGGGATAAACCACGATATAATCCTTTTCGAATTCCATGATGTCCATAGACATACTTCATCGTCTCCCACATGGTACTGAAAGACATGACAATGGTTAAATGATGATACCCTTAAGCCCACTAATGAAGAGATGATTTCAGGGTCCGTATGGCATTTTAGCTTCTTTTAAAAAATGCTATAGCATTTGGAAAGCGAGTGTTATAGCAAACTAAATATCTGCAATAAAACAGCAAATCATTCCAAACAAGTACAAGCAGTATGCATAGATATTAGGGGCTCCTTAACACAACGTATTTTGTTGGAACTATGTGAAGTTTTGTGGCAACACTATTTCATAATGCTTGAAAGAGCAGCTGATACAGTCCTTTAAACACTGTATGAGCAGTTGCCCTTAAGCTTTCATTCCAGCCCAAGTTCTATATTATAATGAGCAGATCACTGTAAAACTAAAGCTTGAAGGTCTATTTTTCAGATTTCAGCAATGAAGACTTTTTCCTTTCAAACAGTTTTGTTTCTACCCTTTCAAATCAACATTTTGGGCTTTGCCTTTTTCTTCCTAAAGGCAATCTAGGCTGAAATCTTCAAAAAACTTTGAGGTGAACAGAGGCCAGCCAAGGCCCCAAACACACGTTCTGCTCTTTCCCTGATGGACAACACATCACCAGTTAAGCAGAATGATTCTACATCTCTATAGATTTAAAACCCAGGGCTATGCTGTGCAATATGGTAGCCACTAGCCATATGAGGCTGCTGAGTATGTTAAATGTAGGGCTAAGCAAAACTGAGATGTGCTCTGAGTATAAAATACAGTGCAGATTTCAAACACTTAGTACCAAAAAACAATGTCAAATAATAAAATGTTAGTGATAATATTTTAGATATATTAGTTATATAAAAAATACTTTAAAACTTAGTTTCATCTGTTTCTTTCTATACTTTTTAAAATCTGGCTACTAGAAAATTTTATATTATGTATATGGCTGATACTATTCTATTGGGCAAAGCTGCTCTAAAGTGAAGTTTATAATAGGAGCATTGGGGCCTGTTTGAAACCTTATAAACTTACCAAAGTCTACCATGGAGATAAAATGGAAGAGCTAGACTATTGGGCGAGGCCAAGTTCTATCTCCCTGTATGCTTTAAACATTATAGTTCCTAAAGAAAATGAACAATGGCTTATGGAGAACTTACAGGCACTTCTCGAATTCTGGCAGAACAGTTCCTAATTGCATTCGTCGACGAGTTACGTCAAAAGGGTAACTAAAAAAAGAAAAAGGTATAAGGATTTAAAAATGATTTTTAGTTTTCAACTCAACAACTACTTAATTTTATGCAAAGCCCTATATAAACTAGGAAATGACAGGGGTGAAACGTGTTCCTGTTCACTTACTGTTTTATCTAATCTGGGTGTCAGAATATAGTCACATGAATAAAATCAGATAATAATACAGGGGTCTCCTTGCTTTGCTTATACAGTTGCCTCTGCTTAGATGATTCTTTTTTTTTTTTTTTAAATAATATTTTGTTGAGTTTTTGGTGAAAGTTTACACAGCAAGTTAGGTTCCCATTTGACAATTTCCTCACAAATTGTTCAGCGACATGAATTACATGTATCATAAAATGTGTCAATATTCTCTTTGTGTTCTGTTTGTTCCCCTTCCAGTACTCTAGTTTCCCTGCCCTCTTATCTTCTCATCTTTGCTTTTGAGTAATTGTTGATCTTTTGGTTTTTAAGTAGGGCACCAATCTTAGGCATAATATCCTTTGTTTTGGGTGCCGCTCTGCTATTTTGCGAAAAGGTGATCTCAGGGGATAGGCTTGGTTCTCGGTTTAAAGAGTGTCTCAGGGCGATAGTCTCAGGGAGGCCTCTATTTTCTGCTGTTCCCATTTGTCTGTTTTTTTCTTTTAAAAATAAGGATTTGACTTTTGCTTCATATTTTTCTCCCATTCTATCCGGGACTAACTATTGTGATCCCAGTCAGAATGGTCAGTCGTGGTAGCTAGGCACCATCTAGTTCTTCTGGTCTCACAGTAGAAGAGGTTGTGGCTCTTATGGACTTCTCTGAGCTTTTGGTTACCTTCTTACTGTTTTGCTCCTGGCAAGTAGAGACCCATGGTTGTGTCTTACATGGCTGTTTGCAAGCTTTCAAGACCCCAGACACTACACAATTCACTATGATGCAAATCAGGATTTTTGTGAACTATGTTATACCAATTGACTGAGTTGTCCCATAAGACTATGGTTGTAAACCTTCAAACCCAGAAAATCAATCTTGGAAGGTATTTGGTTATGTCTGAGGAGTATCTGTATTTGTGTCTTCAATGAATACATGTGCCTGCACCCACATATTTGTATTTATGTATACCTATAGGTAATATATAGCCATGGTATTTTCAATTGCCTCATATGCATGCAAAATCTGGACAATGAATAAAGAAGACTGATAAGGAACTGATGCCTTTGAATTATGGTGTTGGCAAAGAATATTGAATATACCATGGACTGCCAGAAAAACGAATAAATCTGTCTTGGAAGAAGTAGAGAGAGACTGCTCCTTAGAAGGGAGGACGGCGAGACTTCGTCTCACTTATTTTGTTATTACTATGTTATTAGGCAATCCCTGGAAAAGGACATTATGCTTGGTAGAGGGTCATTGAAGAAATCCAATGAGATGGACTGACACAATGACTACAACAGTGGGCTCAAACAGCAATGACTGTGAGGATGACGCAGAACCCGGCAGTGATTCGTTCTGTTGTACACAGGGTGGCTATAAGTCAGAACTGACTCAATGGCACCTAACAACAATAGAGACTTCTATCTCCTCTCACCTATACACACCTGTACCTACCAGTATACTAATTTGCCTATGCCCATTCACATGTTGTTACACACTTGTTTTTACTTTGGTTGTGCTGTACTCACTATATCCACATTCAGTGCCACTTTTTCCATCACCAAAAATAAAACATACTCCCCCTCTCTCCCTGGTAACCACCAGTGAACACTGGTCTCTGTATTTTTGTCTTCTTATAAAAAGGGATCATACAGTATTTGTCCGTATATACTTGACTTATTTCACTTAGCATTCTGCCCTCTAGGTCCATCCATGTAATAATGTTTTGCAGATTCATCATCATTGGTTTTTTATGGTTACATGCTATTCCATTGTACGTATGTACCACAATTTGCTTAGCCATTTATCTGCTGATGGGCACTTCAGTTGTTTCCATTTATTTGCTACTGTGAATAAAGCAGCTTGTCTCACATATCCAGAAGATCAAGTTCTTTTCCTTCCTCAAGGCCAAATTAACTGGCACTGCCTGAAGAAACAAACTGAATGTTTTTCATTGTTGTAACCCTAAGATAAGGTTTCTCAACCTTGGCACTACTGACATTTTGTTCAGTTATACCCTTGGCCTCTGCCCAGTAGTTGCCAGTTGCACTTTCTCAACTGTGACAACCAAAAATGTCTACAGACATTGCCAAATGTCCACTGGGGATAAAGTTGCCTCCAAATGAGAACCACTGACCTAAGAGTCTTCAGCAAGTCCCCCTGTATACAGTAGACCAACAAAACTTTTTGCTTAAGTGCTAAAATGAACAATTCATTTAAGTGCATTTAACAGGCAGAGAAAATTCCATATAAAAAGACTGCCTGAAATGAAATATGCAAAAATCATCTCTTTCAGGAGCAGGACTCCAGGTAATTTTTTTTTAATTAATTTTATTTTGGTAATGTTGAATATTTATGATATGTTAGGTCCTATGCTAAATAATTTATGTACATTATCTCATTTCATCTTCAAAACGACTACACGAAATAGGTACTATTCTCTCAATATTAAGATAAGAAAATTGAGTCTTAGAGACATCCTCGAATGTCATAAAGCTGCTTTCTACTTTCTTATTTGAGGTTCTTCATTATATCTAATATATAAATAAATTATATATAAAAATAATTACATGCTTTTATATACTTTTAAATTTATTATGAAATACTTATGATAAAAAATAGCAAACATCCATGTACTAACCAGCCAGCTTAAGAAATAAAACAATACCAATAGTTGATGCCCTCTATGTACCTCAATAACACCTCAAGGAATTATTTTTTAATAGAAAACATTTTTTAAAAATTTATTTTATGAGGTAAAGCTACCAAAAACCTCAACCCAAGAAATTCCATTTCCAAGCAGGAAAAGATATATGTGGACAGAAGGCAGTGATTGATAGGAAGGAGAGAATGTAAGAAGAAAAGGTGACAAGGACCAGAATTAGGGAAGTAACAGTGAGAACAGACAGAAAATAGCATTCTAGGCAAATGTTCCAAGGTAAAACATGACAAGACTTACTGATTATTTGGCTATGTACAACGTGAAAAATGATTTCAAGGTTTCAGGACTTAAAGATTGATGGTTATCAATAACAAATAGGAAAGTTGGGGGCTGAGGAAGACAAAGACAAGAAGGTAATATTTGAATTATATATAGTTTGCATTGATGGCAAAATATCTAAATAGAAGCATCCAATAACTTGCTAGAGAGGCAATGAGGAGTCAGTAATGAGGTTTAAACAAAATTGGTTATCTGTGCAGAGATATCCATGAAACCATTAGGATAAATGAGTTGTTCTAGATATTTACACGAAGAGTAGAGAACTAAAGTCTGGCTGGGCCTTAAAAAATCCCCACAGATAGGAACGACAAGAACGATATGAATCAGCAAGAGATGTGAAAAGGGAAGGTTGGGGAGGATTGCCAAGTGAGGGCACTGTTATAAAAGGCAAGGAACTAAAACAATTGGAAGATCAGTAAAAGAACCTGGAAGAAGCCATCGGATCTGTTAAGAGCTATGAGTTTAAACACAGTTTCAGACGAGAAGTGGGAAAGAGAAGACAGGCTTTAAGGGTCTACATTGGGAGTGAGTAGTGAAGAAAGAGAGGCAGTGAAATCAAGAAGAGAATCAGAAGAGCCAGAGGTGATCATGTCTCTACAAATGAATAAGGTTCCACAGCCACGTTTCCAGAAAAAGTAAACCACATACCTTTTCTCTTCTTCTTTATCTTCAATCTACTACAATCTGCTCCAAGTCACAAATACACTGAATCTGCTTTCACAAAGGTGATCCAACGGATACCTTATTTTTCAGTAGTTATCTTACTATGACCTTTCTTTTCGCATTGGATACTCCTTTTTGGATTCTGTGTGACACTCTTGTTGTTAGGTGCTGTCAGGTTGGTACCAAGTCAGTTCCAACAGAGTAGAACTGCCCCATAGGATTTCTAAGGAATGGATGGTAGATTTGAACTGCCAGCTTTTTGGTTAGCAGTCGAGCTCTTAACCACTGCGCCACCAGGGCTCCTTTGTGACACTACTCTCTCCTTATTGTCTTCCAATTTTTCAGGATGTTCCTTCTCCTGTTCCTGGAAAGTTCTTGTTTCTTAGTATACCAGCCTTTCTTACCTCACTGTACGTGCTCTCTTGGACTAAGGAAATTCTTAGAAGCTACCTTTTCAATCACAACATCTATGTTCCCATTGCACCTTATATAAACATATAACTCTATTATATTGTTACGGTCTTAATAAGAGTGTAGGCTTCTTGAGGACAATAACTTTGTTTATTCTTCAGTTAACCTCCCAATGCCTAGTACACTGTCTGGCACAGATTAACAGATTAGACCTTCAAGATTTAATGAGTGTCCATCTGCAAAAAACTGAAATAAGACCCATACCTCAAACCATGCATAAGAACTAACTCAAAATGGATCAAAGACTTAAATATCAAATAAAAAACGATAAAGATCATGGAAGAAAAAATAGGGACAATGCTAGGAGCTCTTAATACATGGCAAAAACACAAAATGTACCATAAGTAACAATGCACAAGCACCAGAAGAGAGACTAGATAAGTGGGAGCTCCTAAAAATCAAACACTTATGCTCATCAAAAGACTTCACCAGAAGAGTCAAAAGACAACCTACAGACTGGGAAAAAAATTTTGGCTACGACAAATCCGATCAACGTCTAATCTCTAAAGTCTACAAGATACTGCAAAACCTCAACAACAAAAAGACAAATAACCCAATTAAAAAATGGGCAAAGGATATGAACAGGCACTTCACCAAAGAAGATATTCAGGCAGCTAACATGAAGAAATGCTCACGATCATTAGCTGTTAGAGAAATTCAGATCAAAACTACAATGAGATATCATCTTACCCCAACAAGGCTAGCATTAATCCAAAGAACACAAAATAATAAATGCTGGAGAGGTTGTGGAGAGACTGGAACACTTATACACTGTTGGTGGGAATATAAAATGGTACAACCACTTTGGAAATCGATTTGGCACTTCCTTAAAAAGTTAGAAATAGAAGTACCATATGATCCAGCTATCCCGCTACCTAGAATATATCCTAGAGAAATAAGAGCTGTCACAAATAGAGATATGCACACCCATGTTCACTGCAGCACTGTTCACAGTAGCAAAAATGCTGGAAATCAAGGCTGAGTAACTGTAATTTGATTAAATTAATTTGATGAAGAAACTTACGATATTGTCTGTGCTATTGCTCCAGCAACACCACCACAAAGTAAGTTTATGTGAGTTTTCAAAACTAAGACATTAGGATTGTCTGATGAAGGTCTGCCAAGAAGGGTAGGAGCATAGGAAAGCCCAACACTCTTTAAGGTACCAAAAGTAAAAAATGAAACACCTGAAAAACAAAATATAAATTCACCATGATGCTTAACAAAACACGAGCTGTAAAAAAGACATTATTCTTGCATAGCAACCAATTAACTCAAGAAAGTAATTATTCATTTCCTGATTTCTGATGTTGGGCTTAATCTAAGACAAAAAGTTCTAATTAGTATTTATAAATGACCTAAAGATGACAAACTTACCTCTTATAAAAAATTATAGCATTGGTTTTAACACATTGAAATATGGTTCAGTGTACTGAATGAAGGCAATAATGAGTATAATGCCACCTAATATATGAACACAAAGTTTTCTAAGATTTCACATGACTAAAATTTAAATTTATGATTAGTAATTACAAGTAAATATGACATATTTATAAGAACCATAATGGTGATAATGTAAGATGGAGGTAAAAAATAAAAACATAATAAAGCATTGTTATTTTAATTCAGTGTCTAATTTTGTCTTCAAGGAAGAACTGTGACCATGAGAAAAACGTTCAGATAGGCTCAGAAGACAGGTGGAATCTGATAAATATTGAGTTAGGCTATCGATAGTATGCACTTGGTGTTGGCTAAACATTTATATGATTTTATAACGGAACCATTGAAGTTGTACATGAATAACATCAAGAATGGAATTCAAGCATTTCTACAGACAAAGCATTACTCAGTATACCTTTACATATACTAAATTTTAAAAATATGTTTAAACAAATACTTGATGCTTAAGAACAAGTGCTAATGAAAACTCAAGTGCTAATGAAAACTCAGTCTAGGGTCATAGCTCAATATATCCAATTATTCTTATACAAAATTCTCATAATCTTTTAGAATTTTGAGATCATGATACAATTTTATAAATTCATATACTTTTAAATTTGGGGAATCTATTCTAATGATTTAATCTTAAGTACAAAAAAAGCCCATGACTAGGATATTTACAGCAAATTAAACAAACAGAAAAAATATCAAAAATACCTAAATGAAGTAGAATGGTATTAAGTGTAATATGATACAAGTAATAAAAAGGATGTCTGTGAAGAGTATTCAATAAAGTAAAAAATACTTGAGAAACTGAAGAAACAAAATTGTTTCTTGGAAAAATTAAGAAACAAAATTGTACATACAGTGTAACTATGTAAAATATATTAAAAAATGAAAACTAAAAGCAAAAAATTTTTAAATACAGGAAAATATAGCAAAAAATTAGAGCTTTGCTTCTAGCAGAATGGCAGCCGAGGTATTCTGAGGGATCTTGCCACTGCAGAACAACTAGATCCACTGCCAGACTTGCAAAAAGGATGGGAAGATCTCAAGAATCACCCAACACTATCAACACCACCTCCCAAACAAACGAGTTGGGACCCTACTGGGAGTCTGTCAGCAGATCAAAGAGGTAGAGTGACTCTACATAAAGCCAGTTGCACAGCGCCATTGAGATAGATCCTGCCACTGGGCCTGCAGAAGGTGCGATCACTGGGTCTGAAATTCCTGGGCAGAGCCCAATTCTCAGCAGGAGCTCCTTGGCAGAAGCTAACTTACAAATAGTCTTTGGAAAAAAGCATTCTCAATTTAGACCTTTAGAGTACTCAGAGATTAAGATCAAGCAATCAGTGCACAATCAAAGACCACCAAGCATAAAAGGAGGCAAAAAGGAGTAGGGGGATTCAGGGGAAAGAATGAGGGAAAAAAACAAACAAGATAAGAAATGAGGAAAAAGAAACATAAAAAGAAAAGCAACAAACAGAAATCAAATTGCAAGGTGTACAAACAAGTCCAAATATATCAATAACTACAACAAGCATCAAGTGGACTAATTGCCAGTTATAAGATCTTAAAACTGGGTTTAAAAATAAATCCAGCTATATGCTACTTACAAAAGAAATACCTAAAACATAAAGTCATGAAGAGGTAAAAAGTAAAAGGATGAAAAAAGATATACCAGGCAAATATTAACTTGGATTGGATAAAAAAAGAGAGAGACAGGGGAGCAATGACATTATAGAAGACGGTATTAAGAAATTAAGACTTTTTTAAAAAATTGGATAACAGTATGTCATTATGCTTTTTTTTAAAAAAAAGTACCTAACTTTTAGAGAGCTGAATACTAAAATATTATACATGAAATAATAACATGAATTTGCTTTAAAATAATCTGGGCCAGTAGTAGAGAAGGTAGATAGGGTTAGAGATGAAACAAGATTGGCCAAAAGTTAATTGCTGAATTTAGATAACAGGTACATGGTGATTCATTATACTATTGTCTCTATACTTTTCAATACACTTGAAATATTCGAAGTTGTAAGTAAAAATAAATAAACAATCAGGGGATTTACTGCAGCAGTGTTTAGAAAAACAATTATATTGGGGGAAAAAACAAAAGTTGAGAATTAATAAGCTAAGCATCCAACGTAAGAAAACAACAGAATAAATATAGAGAAAGAAGGACATAATGAAGATAAGAACAGAAATCCATGAAATCAAAAGTAAAGATGGGATTGACAAGAAGAAATAAGCCAAAATGGACTCTGCAAAAACTGATAAACTGATAAATCAAAATTTTTAAGAGGACATGACTGCAGATAGAGCAGATACGGAAAAATATAAAGAGATATTGCCAGTATGTCTTACCAATAAAATTGAATTCATGAAGAGACAGAAAACCTGAACAGTCCTATAACCATTAAAGAAATTAAATTAGTAGTTAAAAATCATCCCACAATGAAAACTTCCAACAACCCGATAATGATAATCATCTTTCTGAAAATGGAACATGTGGCAACGCTCTTCAACTTATTCTATGAGACCTATATAACCTTGATACCAAAACCACACAAGGATATTTACAAAACTATAGAAGAAAATTATAAGCTAATCTCATTCATGAATACAGGCATTACCCAGATTACAAATGAGATCAGTTCCTGTGTCTTTAAGTCTTTAAATCAAATTTGTAGGTAAATCTTAACAGGTGCATATGGTTCTTATTTAGCCTTACTTTAGTGCAAGAAAAGGTTCAAAGCCTTTTCAATGATTTACTTGGTGACCAAATTATTTTCTACTTTGAATTTTTTTTTTTCTTTTTTCTTCTTTGATACTATGTGTTTTCAGTAATGGAAGGCATGCTGAATCATTGAGTATGTCTGAATTTTTGGTAGGTGTTAGGGGGGATTTGTGGACGCCTACGCCCCTATAGGCTCTAGGGGTATGACTGGTGGGATCACAGGCGCATACAGTGAATAGGTCTGAAAATGTATTCACTGCTGTACTATATACAGTTCCTTAGCGAGTACAGTAACGTAAGATAAACATAAATAAGGATTGGAAAGCAGGAAAAAAAATGTTATTACTTGCACATGATGTGATTGCCTATGTAGAAAACCCCAAAGCATCTATAAATGACAAAGTGGCTGGCCATAATATCAACAAATAGGAAAACGGCTAGTTAGCCATACCAGCAGCAGTTGCCATTGAGATAATTCTGACTCATGGTGATCCCACATGTGTCAGAGTAGAACTGTGCTCCATAGGGTTTTAAATGGATGATTTTTCAAAAGTAGACTGCCAGGCCTTTCTTCCGAGGTGCCTCTGGGTGGACTCAAACACCAACCTTTTGGTTAGCAGCCAAGCACTTAACTGTTTGTGCCACCCAGGGACTCCAGTTAGCTATAAGGTCGTATAAAAATTAAATCAAGCAATAAACTGAATATGTAATTTTCTAAAAGATACAACAAAACTTAAAGGTTCCTATAAATATATCTAATAAAAGTATCCAAGACTTATATGAAATTTCATTCAAAATCCCAACAAAGCTTTTCATTCATTATCAAAAGCTGATCCTAAAATGTGTACTCCTGAAAAAAACATGCATAAGGTGAAGGGACTTGTCCTACCAAATATATACACTTACTAGAAGTGACATTGCATATTACTAGAGAAGGAGGGACTATTAATAAATGTACTGGGTCAAATGGTAACCCTTAAGGGAAAAATAAATAATCCCTGATAGGGGCTTAAATGTAAAATGATAAACTGTAAAATCATTCTTAGAAGAAAAATAAAATCTCACAGGAAAAGCACTATCCGTAAAAGAAAAGACTGATAAACTCAATTAAATAAAAATTAGAAATTCTGTTTATTACAAGATACTATACAGAAATGAAAAAGCCAAACCACAAACAGAGATGAGATATTTTCAACATATATAACCGAAATACATAAAGAATTACTACAAATCAATGAGAAAAGGAAAAACAAATCAGTAGAAAAGTTGGCCAAACCCATAAACAGGCACTTCACAGAAAAAGAAATATAACTGGTGAATAAATACATGAGAAGGTGGGCAACCTCATTAGTAGTCAAGGAAATGCAAAATAAGACCTCATGAGTTATCTTTCATATATCCAATAAAATTCACAAAAACTAAAAAATCAGCTAATACCAATGTGAATGGAGAGGATGTGGATCAATGGGAATTTTTAACCACTGCTGGTGAAAGTGTAAATGGATACAACCACCTTGAAAAATTTGACCTTATCTAATAAAACTGAACATACCTATAAGTTACGACCCAGAAATTCTACTCCTATGTATATACTCTAGAAAAAACTCTTGAACTTCTATACCAAAATACATATACAACTGGAAAAACAAATGAACAGTTATATACAACAACATGTGTGAATCTTAGCAACAAAGTATTACCAACTGGTACATCCATACAATGGAATACTACTTAGCAATAAAAAAAAAAAAAAAACTATTGATACACATCACAGATTGGATGAATCTTAAGGGAACGATGCTGTGTGAAAAAAGTCAACCCCAAAAGGTTACATACTGTATGGTTCCACTTAGATAACTTTCTGGAAAAGAGAGTATTACAGAAATAGAGAAGAGATCAGTGGTTGCCAGTGGTTAGCAAAGGAGTCAGGGAGGGTATGCCTAAAAAAGTCAATTGGAGGGATCTTTGTGGTGACAGAATTGCTCTGTATCTTAACTGTATCAATGTCATTATCCTGGTTGTGATATTGTACTATAGTTTTGTAAAATGTTACCACTGGAGAAACTAAGTAAAGTGTACACAGGAGCTCTGTATTATTTCTTAAAATCGTCTAATTCTTTCAAAATAAAAAATTTAATAAATTTTTTTTTTAAAAAGCAACATAAACAAGGTAATAGTGATTATATGCAGACAGGAGGATTATGAGTATGCTTGATTTTTTCTTTTCTACTTTTATTTTCTAAATTTCTCATAATGAGTGTTCACTACTTATATTGAGGGGGGAGAAAAAAGTTTTCAACTCTTATTTTTAATTACCATGTGAAAACTGAATCCTTAACAGCCATGTAACAACAGTGTGCAACCATTAACAAGACTACAGCTGGCTCAGATGTTAAGAAAAAGATGTAAAAGTGCATTTCTACTGATTGAACATTAATATAGTCATCTTTATATACAAGACAGAATGTAGGACCATATACCCACGGCCGTCAAGTCGATTCCCACTCACAGTGACCCTACAGGACAGAACAGAACTGCCCCATAGGGTTTCCAATGAGAGGCTGGTGGCTTCGAACTGCCGACCTTCTGGTTAGCAGCCATGCTCTTTAACCACTGCACCACCAGGGCTCCGTAGGACCATATATGAATCATAATTTTATCTTCATCATTTCTTGAGTAAAAGTACTTTTCATGATAGATCTTTTCATGCTACCATTTCAGAAAAAAGCTAATGACACATTTTAAACACACAAACCAGGATCCTACCAAATTTGAAACATACCTGCATATGGAGCCATTCCTAATATAGTAGGCATCAGACCTCTGTAAAATCCAAGGAAACCACCTTCCTTTTGAGTGAAGGAAAATTAGAAGTGAAATTACATTGTGCTCATTATGACAATCAACAAAGAACAAAAGCATACATTATAATGGAAAAACTATTCTGACATCCACCTTGAAACACAATGATGTGCCTTCCCAGTTATTATTATTAATATTCATAACTGTAAATAAGAATAATTATTCAGGTAATATTCAAAATATTTTCAAAAATATAAAAAGGACATGTTATAGATGAGAAAGGTAAATATGAAATACCTTTGCATAAATTGTTTTAAATGCATGAATAATTCCTGAATAGGTATGTTCCCCTTTCACCTGGAATGCTAGGCGGACTCTAACCATGTCAAGAGGGTAAGTACAGATAACTGCTGTCATACCTGAAAAGAAAGTAGAAACTTAAATGTAAAAAAAAAAATGCCTGACATACATGTCTTCCCAGTTATTAGGTGTGTTCTCCACGTTGCAGCAATGATGAAAACTCAATGAAATCAAAGGTGATATTGCCGGTAGAATTATAACATATTATCATCAGCTGGAAAACAACCTTGTTACTAAAGGGACAGTTTGTAAAAATCTTTTCAAGTTCTTCTCGCTGTGAAGTTATAGTATATAGTGTTAGCTTCCAAATAGTACACTGTAAGTAGACTGTGAGCGTTCTTACAATTCTATTTATTATTCGTTTATTCTCACGAAAAATATCAGAAAGGAAATACTGCCTATCTTCTTGACACTAAGTAAGACATTTGTTTTTTTACTTATTTCCTCTAATCCTAAAATGGAGAGATGCTTTATGTACCTAACACAAGGAATTCTTATGAAAATAAAATAAACACATTTTTTGAAAAACTTCAAAGCATGATCATTATTTTATTTTTTAGAACTTAGGTAAATCTGCTATTTACTCACCATAACAAAAATATAAATGTCAAAGGTCATAGAAACAATTCATTTTAACATCAAAATCTCCTGTGATAAGTAAATTTAGCATTAAATTCTAGATTTTCATTAACACTTTAATTCAAATTCCAAAACTATCTGGATGAGTTACTTTTTAAATTAAAAAACACATTTTATTACTTTTTTAAAGTACCAAAGAAATGCATATTCAGTGTAGAAAAATTAGAAAATATAAATGAGCAAAAAAGTCTAATTATACATAATCTGTCATCCAACAATAAAACTCTTTGCCATAGAGTCTATTCTGACTCACAGTGACCCTACAGGACAAAGCAGAATGCCCCATAGGGTTTCCAAAGCTATAATCTTTACTGAAGCAGACTGCCATGTCTTTCTCCCACAGAGTGGCTGGTAGGTTCCAACCGCTGACCTTTCAGTTAGCCTTTTCAGTTTGCAGCCGAGTGCTTAACCATTGCGCCACCAGGGATCCTTCATCCAACGATAACTACCTACATATGTAATCTTCCAAATCTTTTTATAGATGCACATTTGTACATGTGTAATGCACATTTAAAACTGATGATAATACTGTAATTTTATAGCCAGGTTTTTCTACTTTACATTATATTGTGAACATTTTTCCTTGTGAGAAAAACATTATTTGGATGTAGGGTAATTTATTAAAACAATCCTTAGACATTTATATTGTCTCCATTATTTGCTATACAATGTTGTATTAGCAAACAATGCTTTGGTGAGTGGCCTTATAACTAAATATTGTTGTCCACCATTTTCATCATGGATAAATTCCTGAAATAGAATTATTGGGTCAAAGGGTAAAAACACAGTAAGACTTTTAATAGAAATTGCCCTCCAGAAAAACTGTACCAATTTATGCCATCCATTAGAATAAAAGTCCTATTTCTCTGAATTTTCAGATATTAGATAATTATTAGACAACTAGATAATTTCCCCCTAATTTTGATGGGCAAAAAGTATCCTCTCATACAGCAGTCCAGGGACAAGGGCCAGAAGGCAGAAGGGGACAAGGAAGCTGGTGATAGGGAACCCAAGGTTGAGTAAGGATGGTGTTGATGTGTTGTGAGGTTGTTAACCCTTGTCATAGGGCAACATGTGTACTAATTGTTAAATGAGAAACTATTTTGTTCTGTAAGCCTTCATCTAAAGTGAGAATAGCAGCACAACTGGTAGAGCGTAGTCGATGTCACTGAACTGTGCATGTAGAAATTTTTGAAATGGTGTATCTTTGGCTATGTATATTTTCACCAAAAAAAAAAAAAAAAGGTTGAGAAGGGAGAGGGTTGACATGTTGTGGGGGTTGTTAACCAATGTCATAAAACAATATGTGTACTACTGTTTCATGAGAAACTATTTGTTCTGTAAGCCTTCATCTGAAGTCAATTAAAAAAAAAAAAAAAAGCATCCTCTCAGGGTTATTTTGGCTTATTTCTCATATGACTTTATTTTTGTGTCCTTTAATTTCTACATCTACATTTCTCTCTTTGGCAGTTACTTTTTCTATACAGGTTTCTAATATTTTTTTTAACAAGACAATTTTTTTCATCTTTTTACTAGTTTTATCAAATTAAAATCTGATTTTTTGTCAGAACTTTGACTCAGAATAGCAAACTGTTCTGGTATAAAAGTGGAAATTTAAAGTGGTTTCCACATTCTTGACTTAATTTCATTTTTTAGTATTTGTTTAATTTTATTTAATAGGCCTGCAATAGTTTACTCCATTTATTTAGCAAATGTTACTGTAATTTTGCATACATTTTTATCATCCCAGACCTAAGTATAAATTTACTTTCAGAGTGCTGGCCCCCTCCCCCTCCAAATTTAAATCAATTTGCCACTCCTTCAAAATGAATAAGAAAAGAATGATCTTTAAGTTATTATCTAGGTATTTTTCATGGTATTTGTTCCTGAGTGGTTATAATATTATGTCTAATTACCTACCTAAAATACCAGTAATGAGAAGCCTTGGTGATGCAGAGTTAAGCGGTTGGCTGCTAACAGAAAGGCTGGCACTTCAAACCCACCAGCCACTTTGGGAGAGAAAAGACAGGGAGATCTGCTCCCATAAAGATTACAGCCTAGGAAACCCTAGAGGGCAGTTCTACTCTGTCCTATAGGGTTGCTATCAGTTGAAACAGACTCCAAGGCACACAACAACAACACACACCCAATACTTCAGCGCAAACACATGCAACCCTTCTCTGAGAATTAAAAAAAGTCATTCCTTTAGACAATGACAGGAAAATCAATTTGAATAATATATTAAGCAGTGCAGCTTCAGTTTAAATACAAGCAATAATTTGGATCAAGGTTAGCCTAACGGTGGTCAGAACAGGTTAGACCCACTGAAGAAAAACCGATTTTATGATTAGCATACCTGTGGTTCAGCTGTTTTAAATCTTCCTTTTTTTTTTAGTTTGCACATAGCAATAATGACTGTTTACTATGTGCCAACACATCACACCAGACACTTTACAAACACTACCTCCAATCCTTAACATATCAAATGCCACCACCAGTCCTACAAGGCAGACATTATTATTCCTGCTTTACAAATTGAGAAAACTGAGGCCAGACTAGTTAAGTAACTTGCCCAAATTCAGAGCGTTTGTGTATCACAAAGTAAGACTTGAAACTAAGTTGTCTGGCTATTACCATGATGCAATGTTGCCTTCCTCATAATTTTTTTCATGTTAATCACTTGCTTAGCATTTTTCATACTTAAAATTTTACTTCAGGTACTTCATCAGTCCAGTGATTGGAAATGTCAATTCCCCATTTCAACAATTTGATAGTGAGTTCTTCATTGCAGCTGTCTTCTAGCTATTCATTTCCAAAGCATTTTAAGGAATTCGTTTTCTACCTATTGGTATTCAAATCAGCCATGTCTGACAGTCAAGGCTGTGACTTGTCTAAATGTCCTCTTTTAAAGTGAATGTAAACGAATACAGTCCAAGGAGGATATTCCTCAGGCAAGGCAGGGCAATAACATTACATTTAAATCACAACAAATACTTTATCATCCAGATATTCTTAAAACTATCTATTTTGCAAGTTGGCTTAATTTTTTTGCAGCTTGAGTTGAAGATTTTGCAAGGGGAAATTTTAGAAATAAAATTAGGACAGATTATCTATACATTAATTGCATCTATATTGTAATAATTCTTAGTAAGAAGTATAACAAGTGTAGAAGAGATCTGAAAGGCTGACAGTTTTAAGGTTTGATCACGCTGACACAATTTAGTTAAATATCAAATTTTGCTAGGATTTTCCCAAGTCATCTCTTGCCATTTTATTTTACAACTTCGGTAAATATTTACAACTCCCTTATTTCTTTCTCTTTACTAATCTAGAACTCCCACTTGCTTTTCTGACTTCCTCTATTTCTTCGTTCCTCCTCACATATTCTAAGCCTTCTAGTTGCCTTCTCCAAGTCTCTAATTGCCTGACTCCAAGTGGTTTAATAGGAAATAACTGAGTGAATTAACAGACTGGTCAAAATTATGAACTGGTAAAAAATGAGTAGAATAAATGTTATGGAATAAAAATACAATATTAAAAAAAAAAAAAGAGTGGAGCCTTGGTGGCATAGTGGTTAAGAGCTCTACTGCTAACTAAAGGTCGGCAGTAGGAATCCACCACTCCTTGGATATCCTATGGGGAAGTTCTATTATGTCCTATAGGGTCGCTATGAGTTGGAATGAAGGTTATAATTATTTATTATTTTTAAAAAACAAGTATATACAGAAATTTGTTTGTAAAGGTAAAGGCTTAGCTTTAAAAAGTACAAAATATGTCAATGCTTTTTTAAAATATCGAATGTCCACCTCTTAAAAACATTTTCATCTTTATTTCTGGAGTCCCTGCTTTGCTGGGAGCCCATATACACATGTAGTGCCTATCAAGAAATCCAGCACTAGTATTATTATCTTGATTTGATAACTTTTTTTTTTCATTGCAGCTATTTTTTTATTTTAAAACCACTTCTTTTTTCTTTATAGCAAGTGATAAGACTATATATTTACTCCAGAGTGAGTCTGTGTGGGTTCAAATTTAAACTCCACTACTAACTAGCTATATGACCTTGAGCAAATTACATAACCTGGGTTTCAGTTTCATCACCGATAAAATGGGGATTATAACAAGTAGGTTTCCAAATCAGGGATTTATGAAGATCGAGTTAATAGAAATTAACATTTAAAATAATTCCTGGCACAAAGTAAATGCTATAGGGAGTGTTAGCTATTGTTATTCTCCCAGTCTATTCTTTTTAGAGCAATTTGTTTTGAGAAGGTTCCCATTGAGAACCAAATCATTTGTGCCTAGTCTTACCAAAGTATCCCACAACCCCCAACCTTTCTCTTCCCTGCACATCAATGCTCAAGGATTCGAATAAAAAGGGAGCACAATCAGAGGATTATTGGAGAGGAATATGTAACAA